CTGTCTGCCGCCCAGCCGGAAAAACAGAAAATACCAGACATTGAACATGGCCTGTATTTTCTGAATTTTGTTTTACCGGACAGAGAGTGCAAAAACCGGACCGTCTGGTAGAATACCGGACACCTGGCAACCCTAGAGTGTGGCCGTTACTGCCGTGTGGGCAGGGAGAGCGGCCCTGCTCCTTCATGCCCCTTCCCTCCCCTGTCACATCTTGCGCCCCCATGGGAGGGTGGGGGAGTTCAAATTAACATTTCACTGCTGTGTGTAGCCGCGCAGCAGTGAGTTCGGGCTAGTGAAATTTCAAAATGGCGACTGGACGGGAACATGCAAATAAAGCCCAGGATATTTAAATTCAGGGCTTCATTTGCAACTCCGGTCACCTCATTTGCCTACCTAGCTCCAATTAACAAGCTAGTGTAGACATACCCCTAAACATTGTTTAAGCAGTTAACCAATTAAATGGGATTTTGCATCCCTAGTCTAAATGCTTCCTTGTAATTCTAACAATTTCACATTCTTCTATGTATTACCCTCCATATCACTTATTTTATCAATATTAACAAAAAAGTGAGCCAGGCAGATTACAGATACATATTTCTCAGTGTGGATCTTGACATCACCTGGCCTGCTGGCATTACCTTTTCATTTAAGAATTAAACAAGTTTTCAGTAATAGATTCATTAACACTGATGTGAGATCAAAGGTGTTCCCAGCTGCAGGGTTTTAGTTGTGATTGTATATTAAAGATAATGAGGAAAAAGAGAAACATAAAATAGAATTATACTAGTTCAGCATTCAGAGGGATTATGGCAGTGGTCTCCAACCTTTTCACACCCAGGATCACATTTTATATGTCAGGGCAAGCCAAGATCTACCCCATCCCTTCCCCAAGACTCCACCCCTTCCTGGAAGCCCCACCCTCTCCATTCTCCTCCTCTCCATCATTTGCTGTTCCAGCCCTTACTCACTCCCACTGGGTTGAGACAGGAGGTACAGGCTCTGGGGTGGGAATGAGGGATTTTGGTGTGGGAAGGGGTGAGAGGTGCAAGATCTGGGAGGGAGCGCCAGGCTGGAAAGTGTTGGGGTCAGCTGGAGGGTTGAGGTGCTGGAGCAATCCACAGGCTTGTGGATGGGAGGTACAGGAGTTAGGGTTGGGGATTTGAGGAGCTCAGAGCAGAGGTTTGCGGTGTGGATGGTGCAGGGGTGTTGTGGCACAAGACTGGGGATGTGGGTGGTGCAGGAGATTGGGAATATGAAGGGTTCAGGGCTCAGGGTTGGGATCTGTGGGAGGTGCAGGAGTGTTATGATGCTGTGGCCAGATGGGGTTTAGCCCCAGTTGGGGGCTTGTTGTCCAGGCTTCATTATTAAATAAAATATTATGTCCAACACAAAACATTTCAGCATTGTCTTTATTTATGGGAGGAGTGGAGAACCTGATTTGGGTCAGGAGCCACTGACCCACAAAAAAATCTGTTGGGGAGTGGGATGCAAAAGATCAACCCTTCCAGTCCCACTCCCGTAAGCCTCACTGATGTGGCCCGAAGTAAAACACCTCACTCCCCTGGCACTCCAGCCCCATGAAGGGGAAGGGTAGGTAAGATTGAGGTTCAAGGCTTCAGGCCAGATTGTCTTCTAGGGTTCCAAGGTTAGTGAATTTTGTGGGCCCCTCTACGCTCTGAGTGAAGCCAAAAATAAGGGATCCAGTGTGCAGGGCAGAGCTGCCAGCGAGTGTAGAGCTGCCAGGGGTACAGAATCAGGGTGAGAAGAGGGTACAGGAGCAAGCTGGGGTAGGTGTCTGGCCAGGAGGGAGGGGGCAGGAGGAGGGTGCTGGTGGGAGTCAGGCCAAGGAGCAGCAGCAGGGTGCTGATGGGAATCTGGCCAGGGAGCAGGGTACTGGTGGAAGTCTAGCCACGGCCAGCTGGTCAGGTAGCCAGCCCAGCTGGAGTGTTGCATAGTTCAGCTGGAGCAAAGGGGGGCAGCCACCCAAGCAGTTGGCCATGGTGTTCAGCCTGCAGAGGTTGCACCATGCTACACGTGAGCTGGAGCATGGCGCAGCTTTGGCCGTCTGAATGCCACAGCCAGCTGGCTGGGCAACTGCTCCTTTTTGTTCCAACCTAGCTGGAGCGTGGCACAGCCTCCACGGGCTGAACGCCATGGCCAACTGGCCGGGCGTCTGCCCCTCTTTGATCCAGCCCAGATGGCCCATGTGTTTAGCACTCCGATGCTGCCCCAGCAGATCCCATCAAGGGGTATGTCTACACTACCACCCTAGTTTGAACTAGGGTGGTAATGTAGTCAACCGGAGTTGCAAATGAAGCCCGGGATTTGAATTTCCCAGACTTCATTTGCATGTTGCCGGGCGCCGCCATTTTTAAATGTCCGCTAGTTCGGACTCCGTGCCCCGCGGCTACACGCGGCACGAACTAACGAGGAGTAACGGTAGTTCGGGTTAGGAAGCCTAATCCGAACTACCTAGTTCATGCCGCATGTAGCCGTGGGGCACGGAGTCCGAACTAGTGGACATTTAAAAATGGCAGCACCCGGCAACATGCAAATGAAGCCCGGGAAATTCAAATCCCAGGCTTCATTTGCAACTCCGGTTGACTACATTACCACCCTAGTTCGAACTAGGGTGGTAGTGTAGACATACCCAAGCTGCTACCACTACTCCCCTTCTGTTCGATGGGTGCTGCTCTGCAAATGAGGAGGGCAGATCTAAAATTGATTGTGTGCAGGCGCGCAGTTCAGAGGGAACTGAAGATCGACCTATGGAGACACCATAATCCGCTGGTAGATAGCGATCTACTGGTTGATGACCGTGGCCTTAGGGAGTTTCTGTATCTACTGTTCTGCTCTTTCTTTAGCGGATAATATTTTGCATAGGTAATTGTTTGGACTGTGAATACTGGTGTAGTGTTTTCCTTAATCGTTACATGAACTAGACACTGAATGTCTGCTTGGATTATGCAGCCAGTACAGCAATCTCTAGCGAATCCTTTTTCTTTATAATAGCAGCAAAGTTGCTCATGGATATTTACAAAACAATTGTTGGCTTCAGGACCAAACAACATTTTTGTAATCCGAAGAATGGCTTGTCTGGCAAATCAGTAGGGTAGAAGAATAACTGTCACAATGGAGTGCTGCATCCCAGAAAGTTGTTGCCCATGGCATCCACCCTATTTACCTGCCCCTAAACCTTGACCTCACTAATATATACACTTGATGGCTTCTCACAGCATTTAAAATACCTTTGTTTTGGGAGCTCTGAACTCAGTGAAAGGATCTAATGAACGCTTAAATAGTCTTGGCACCATTTAAGTGAATAGTCATTTGAAACCTATGTCGTCCAAGTGTGAGTGATGAATTCTGATCTAGTAGCATTTTACGCCTATCTTTGGTACATTGATTTACATTAGCTGAGTTTCTGCCCTTGATCTTTCATTTATTCCTGCTAGTCATTCAGCATGTTTTTGATAAGTCCCCCTAGCATGCTCTACAATTTTTAACCCAAAATGGATTAGTTGATCTTTGACTAAATACTATATTGAACAAATATGGATTTTTTCATTATCCAGATGAATGAGAATGACTGCAAAGAGCCCCCACAGTACTGGACAATTCATGGACTATGGTAAGAACTTAAAATCCTTTTAATTTCAAATTGGATAAGAATGCCATGTTGGCCTGATTCTCCCCCTATTTACACCAGAGTAAATCAGAAGTAACTTCATTAGAGATATTGCTATAAAATGAGTGTGAGGGAAATCAAACTTTCAGACTTGAAAGTCAATGGAACTGTACCCATTTAAAGCAGCATTGAATCAGGTCTATATCCTTATAAAAAGGGATACAGTTGTGCTCTATGCTGAAAAAGCCATGAGGCAAAATCTTCATTCTATAGAAGCCAGTGGCAAAACTCCATTTGAATTCAGTGGAGCAGGGTTTCACCCCTGGCATGTGATTTGATCACAGGACTGGAAGCCACTGTGGGATCTAATTTCATCTCTGACATTGACTCCTGCAATAGCTTTGTGTAAATAACATCATGCTGCTGCTGGTTTGTTTTTTTAATTTTATTTGCAAAACGGGTATGATGGTATTTAGGAGTTACAAGGAATAGCTCTTTGATTCTGGACAGCACTTTGAAGACAAAAATGTTCATATTACGTGTCATAAGGATTAATGCACAGACTTTACAGCGGATTGGGTTAATATTGTTGCTGAAACAGCTTCAAACTGGGGTCAATAATCCAACTAAAAACATCACCAGCCTTGGTACAGAATGTAACTTCTCTAAAATTTGTCTTTTATTGGTTTTATTTCTGCTTTCATTGCAAATTTATCCTGTAGTATACCTATTAAAATACCTAATTATATTGTGTTTCTCTTTGAGTTGCTTGGTCTTATAGTATATGTAGGCATGCTCTGTAGCATTGCTCACGAACATTTAATAGCATGCAGGTGAGTTGACAGACTCTCCAGGCCCCTGGGCAAGGTGTGGGGTGGGGCTGGCTCCATGGTCCCGGAAGGGGTGGGGCCTCACGTGGAAGGGGCAGGGCCAGGGACAGATAGCTCCCCCTCAGGGCCATCCAGGGGGCACACAGCCCAGGGCTCTGTAGTGCACCATGTGGGGCTCCAGCAGCGATTTAAAGTGCCCAGGGCCCTGGCTGCTGTTGCATTAGTAGCAGCAATGGCTGAAGCCCATATCCCCTTTGAATTGCCAAGCCCTGGGGCACTTGCCCCCTTTGCCTTTGTCTCTAGCCTCTATTTGTCAGAAGCTGGGGTTGGGTGACAGGAGAGGGATCACTTGATGATTGCCTGCTCTGTTCACCCCCTCTGGAACATCTGGCATTGGCCACTGTCAGAAGACAGGATATTGGACTAGATAGACCTTTGGACTGAGCCAGTATGGCCATTCTTATGCTCCCCTCACCCCTGTGAATGGGCCTGATAGCATGATATACAACTTCTAATTTTTTGATAATACAATATTCATCTCCCCTTTCCATTTCATCTATGGAAAGGAAAATAGGAAAATGTTGAAGTATGTTTCTAATCTGAAATATGGCTTTGTAAACACAGCCTTGAAGGTTCCTTCCTTCTCGTACAATAAAAGTGCCGCTGGTCTAGTTAAACCCTCAGTGACAGCTCTTGCATTTCCATCCCATTGTCTTCAAATTATGCTCTTGCTGGGGCCTAAGCAATCTGTTACCATCAAAGGGATCTGCACTGCTTTTACTGACCCATAGTATACGATACTGATGATGCATCAAAAAAAAAAAAGACTTCAGATCATTTACATATATTAGTTCTGTTGACTCTGCAGAACTAGAAAGAATAATACAAAAGAATGTATACTTTGTCTGCTGATCTGACTTTGTAACACAAACAGGGAACAGATCTGAGCAGGAACAAGTTATGTTTTCTGTAAGAAGTTTTCAGAGCAGAATCCCATTTGGCCTAGAATTTTCCCTTTACAGCTTCAAGTCTTACCACAATGTCTAATGTTTTTGCTAGTGGATGCTCCACCAATCTGCTTTTTCTTGTGAATGTGCAGTGTGTTGAAATATAAGAACCCTGCTCTAGTCAAAGACCAAAGTTGTATAGTTCAATGCACTGCTTACATATGGTCTCACATGCTTGGTGATCATGTGTATGCACACAAATCAATAGCAGAATAAGCTCTTTTTAAAAGATCTACTTCCAAAGTTGCTAATGTAAAAGGGAGTATAGCTTCCTTTTTTTCTGAATTCAGAGCACTTGTTAATTCCTCATGACATAATATGGCCTCAGGAGTCAAAACATGTTCTAAAAAACTCATAGAAACTACGGAAGAGCATGTCTGTCTCAAAGGAAACAACTGACTGGAATCTCTGAGCAGTAGAAACTCAAAGATACAGACTTTTCATTAAGAAAAAAGTGGAAGAAAATGTACAACAGGTTGGTAACTTATACTCTGTAAAACTGTCAATGGCATTGCACATCAGTTCCAAGGCAGCTGGAATGTGTGTAGGTCTGGGGAATCCTAAATAGAGAGACTCGGGGTGGCATTGATTTCATTAGAGAGGGCTACACTACTCAGTCTATTTACACATTGCTGAAGTGGTGTGAAGGGCACAAAGGTCCTCTGCACTTAGAACAGTTCAGCCACAATTAAAATGTGTTGGTTAAAATGCTGTGGTGATTGACTTGGGTTCCATGGATTTTTAAACTGATATTTCAAAGCTATTCTCTTGTAACGCTGAGCCCTGTGACACAAATTTTTCCATCCACTACCTAAGGGTGGCATTCTGTCTTCATTTGCATATTTCTTCCCTAGGCCTGAAAAAGTAGAAGAATGTAATAGAACATGGCACTTCAACGTGAATGAGATTAAGGTGATTTTAATTTATTGAAATTAAAATATTCAGACTAGAGTGAACACAATTATCCTTTTTTAAAAAAAAAAAAAAAAGCTTCATAGTATGTCACTTCTGATTTAATTTGTGATCTGAGATGGATATGCTTTTCAAAAATTCCTATTCCAATATTCATTTGGTGCTTTATTCCCTTAGGGTATGTCTACACTACAACGTTAGTTCGAACTAACATTCATAGCCGCTACACTAGCGCTCCGCTAGTTCGAATTTGAATCGAACTAGCGGAGCGCTTAGTTCGAACTAGGAAAACCTCATTTTACGAGGATTAAGCCTAGTTCGAACTTACTAGTTTGAATTAAGGGGGGTGTAGCCCCTTAATTCGAACTAGTGGGAGGCTAGCCCTCCCCAGGTTTCCCTGGTGGCCACTCTGGCCAACACCAGGGAAACTCTATGCCCCCCTCCCGGCCCCGGCCCCCTTAAAGGGGCACGGGCGGGCTACGGTGCCCGTGCCAGGTGCAAGCCTGCCAGCACCCAGCCAGCAGACCCTGCACCTGGCACGGCACAGAGCCACCCACCCGATGTCCCCCAGCCCCCCCCCTCTTCCCGGGACCAGGCTGGCGGCTCCCGGGAGCTTGCCCGGGACCGCAAGAGGCGGGCACCTTCCTGGGCTAGTGCGGACATCGTGGACCTCGTCCACGATCTCCGCACTAGGCACAGGAAAGTGGCCGTCTAGGGCAGGAGAGCTGCCAGCCTGGCCACCCAGGAGCAGGTGTGCATGAAAATCAAGGGGGTCCACTGAGATCCCCGACCCTGAACCCTGAGCTTACAATGGCCGTCCTGGGTCAGACCAAAGGTCCATCTAGCCCAGTAGCCTGTCTGCCGACAGCGGCCAACCCTAGGGACCCTGGAGGGGATGGACCGAAGACAGTGACCAAGCCATTTGTCTCGTGCCATCCCTCTCCAGCCTTCCACAAACTTTGGGCAGGGACACCACTCCTACCCCCTGGCTAAGACTACTCCATGGACCCAACCTCCATGACTTGATCTCACTTCCCTTTAAACTCTGTTCTAGTTGTAGCCTTCACAGCCTCCTGCAGCAAGGAGTTCCACAGGTTGATTATTTGCTTTGTGAAGAACAACTTTCTCTTACTAGTTTGAAGCCTGCTACCCATTCCTTTCCTTTTGTGTCCTCTAGTCCTTCTTTATGGGAACTCATGAATTCACCCTCTCCACCCAACCCCTGCTTTTAGAGACCTCTATCCTGTCCCCGCTCCATCTCCTCTTTTCTAAGCTGAACAGTCCCAGTCTCTGTAGCCTCTCTTCATCTGGGACCTGTTCCCAACCCCTGATCATGTTAGTTGCCCTCCCCTCTCCCAGCCTTTCTCTTCCCCTCTCCCACCTCCTTTTCCCAGTCTCCCCCAGTTTTGTTCAATAAAGACAGAGTCAATGTTGGAAGAAACGTTATCTTTATTTTGTACATCAGGAAGGGGGGCTAGGGAAGGGTAAGTGGAAGGAGGGGAGGGAGGAATGGGGTATGAGCCCCCGATGGGGAGGACTGGGCTGGCTCTGCGGGCTTCTGGGGGTGGAAGCTCTCCTGCAGCTCCCCGATTGCCCTCTCTCCCCAGATGGCAGCCTGCGGCAAGTGCAGCCGGGCTGATGGCCGAGTGGTGTGATGTGCCCAGTGTGGGTACTCCGGGCACTCCAAGCCAGGACTGCTTTGCAAGCGGGGCACCCCTTCGAACTGTCTGTCCGGGGTGGGGGTCGGGACCCTTTAAGCGCAGCCCTCGGCTAGCCTGAGACAGCATCTCCATGCTCTAAGTCCTCCTCTGATGCCCTGCCGGCACTGCTTCCGGCCATCCTTAAGCCCTGTTCAGGGTCCACTCAATGTGGACTTGCTAGTTCAAATTAGCAAAACGCTAATTCGAACTAGTTTTTAGTTCTAGACGCGTTAGTTCGAATTAACGTTGTAGTGTAGACGTACCCTTATTCATAGTCAGCTGTGTTGATGAATTTAGGAACCCTCAAATCTTTATTGTTTTTTATACATGCATGGCTTGAGTCATTCCCTAGTCTTTTCTAGTCAGAACTACCAGAACACTGTCTCTGGGCCTCCCACAGAAAGAAAAAAAATTCTGGAGGGGAACAGTACAACAAATGTGCTCCTAGTCCTTGCAGTTCCTGTGCTCCTGGAGGGCCTAGTGGTCAAGGTATCTGGAAGTGCATTTCCTACATATTCTCTTGTAGTAGGACTCCTAGGGTACATCTAGACTACAGGCTTTTGTCGACAGAAGTTTTGTCGACAGATACTGTCGACAAAGCTTCTGTCAACAAAGAGCGTCTAGACTACATTCAGTTCTGTCGACAAAGCAAGCTGCTTTGTCAACAAAACCCTGTAGTCTAGACACAACCCTAGATGCAATAACACCTTCTGTTGACAGAACTCTGTCGACAAAAGGCGTTATGCCTTGTAAAATGAGGTTTACCAGTGTCGACAAAACTGCTGAGTTCTGTCGACGTTATGTCGACAGAACTCAGCGGTAGTGTAGACGCAGGGTTAGCTTTGTAGACACACCCCTAGTGAGCTTCATTTGTTGTTTAAAGCAGTCTCTCCTGTCCCTCCCCCCACTCCCATGCACGGTTCACAATCATGCTGGAAGGGCATAACAAGTGGGGTCTGTTTTGGGACCAGTTCTGTTCAATACCTTCATCAATGATTTAGATGATGGCGTAGAGAGTACGATTATTTGCAGAAGATAGCAAGCTGGGAAGGACTGCAAGTGTTTTGGAGGATAGAGTCAAAATGATCTGGACAAACTAGAACAGGGGTGGCCAAGCTGCGGCTTGCAAGCCGCATGCGGCTCTTCACCCCTGAAAGAGCGGCACGTGAAGCCCCCCTACAAACAGCCCCCTCTTCGTTTAATGGGTTGGCCACCCCTGAACTAGAGAAATGGTCTGAGGTAAATAGGATGAAGTTTAATAAGGACAAATGCAAAGTGCTCCACTTAGGAAGGAACAATCAGTTTTGCACATACAGAATGGGAAGCGACTGTCTAGGAAGGAGTACTGACTCCCTCCTCCCCTCCACCACCAGAAGGAAGGAAGGCAGCAGCGGGAAGGAAGAGAAGACAAGAAAGAGTGCGCTCCTCCCCTGCCCAAAAGAGCATGCATGCTTTCTTGTCTTCCCTTGCTTCCCTGTGCTCCGGGAAGGCAGTGGAGAGGTGGGGCTAGTTAACATGGCGGCACAGGATCCGGAGCATCTGGATTTCTTCAAGGAGCCACACATGCTCTTCTTCCAGTGCTGCCTGCAGATCCTGCCCCAGAGATCCTCATCTCTGGAGACACCCAGGTACCAGCCAAGCTGCTCCTGCCCCCTCTTCCCCTGGGTAGACCCCCAACAGCACCCTGCCCCCTCCTCCTATCCAGCCCTACAACAGCGACCTGGCGAACCCCTCCACCAGCTCCCTCCCACGCGCTAGACCCCCACCAGCACTCTGCCCCCTGTCCAGACCCCCACCAGAGCCCTGACTCCAGCCCAGAATCCC